TGAGGAACACCAAGCCTTTATTCCATTTTGCTGTAATGTCCAGCTGTTGGTAAGCGCCTTCCTTTCACTGGGTTTATTTCTCCTTTGTAACCAGTAGTCACTATACCAGATGGATATAATGCTCCCTCCAATTCCCTCATGCCAGCAGGTTTTGGTGGTTGAATGGTTTGGTTTGCTCTGATTTTGGCAAACCCAGGACTGTGAATAAATAGGCTGAGTAAGCTCTCTGGCACTAAGCTCCACCTGCCAACACTATAGTTCCAGTTGCAGCCATGTACTCCAGACATAGGTAAGTGTGGTCCTTTGCCACTGTGCTGCTCATTTGGATATCTCTTGAGGGTCAGAATCTTTCTCAAGCAATTCCCAGAGGGAGTGGCTCAGGCCACATGTGTATACCTGCCCATTTCTGAGGGTCACCCAGCATGATGCCTACACAAGAAAATTTTCTATCCAGTCACTGAGTGCACACGCACACACGCACGCACACACACACACACACACACACACACACACACACACGCACGCACGCACGCACGCACGCACGCACGCACGCATGCACGCACGCACGCACGCGTGCACATCAAACATGCCACCACCCCACCTCACCTCTCTCTTAGCCAGATGCCCTGAGTTTAGCTCCAGGACATTTATAAACAGTGTGACTGAAATTCTGCAGTGGATTGTCCTGACAAAAATACTTAGACTTGTCAGGACAATGAAATGTGTGTGGTAAAGAATTCACCATAATATGATCGTATGATCGAATTGCACTGGTGCTCCAGTAGAGATGAGCCGGCTGGGATTCTTGGTGGGAAAAGCTAACTTGGGGCCGAGACTCAGCCTTCTGCTGGCAGGATACTCACAGTGTGTGTGCAGAGGAGGTGATGGTGCAGAAGAGCTCCTGAGGTGCCGTTCCAGTCTACTGTCCCCACAATCTACGTATTTAGCAGACCCTGCACACCCTGCACCAGCCCCCCAGAGTAACTCCACTGGTGCCGTTCTGGCCGATCAAGTCAGTGATGTTTCATACGAAAGTGGCAAAATAAAGATTTGCTCAGGAAAGTGAAACAGATCGTGGGTAACTATGTATTCATATGGACACACATATGAGCCTGTGTATGTGATAAAAACACAGCTTTCCTGTGCCTGGGCCATAAATGTTAGCGCACACTCGTTATACTACAGAGTCTGTTTAGTCACACCTAGTGTGATAGAACGTAACAGGCAACGGTTGGCACTGGGAGGTGCTGCCCCATCCCCTTCAGTACTGAAAGGTTCTATCTATCCCATTCGGCCTTGTTTCAGCTAAAGACAGTCACCTCAGCCAAGATCAAGTCCTCTTCTCAGGGTAGCTTTTATCCAGGGACTGACTGGCACAAGTATACAAAACTAATTTCCCTCTCTAAATTTGGAGCAATTCTCAATAACTTTGGGGTCCTGAAGCCTGTGCAGGAGTTGCTGGTGGAGGCACAGTGCAACCATTTCCTTACCCAGTCCTGCTTTGTTCCTGTCCCTCCTGCAGATGGCGGTTTGGAGAGTACCCCCCACCACACACACACACCTGCCACTAACATCCAGCTAATGGCCTGCTTCCCAGGGAACACAGGTGTGTGCTATGTTCTTTTGTAAAGAATGTTCAAGTAAAAGAGAGAAGTGTCCTTAATAAATGATAAGGTTTGGGACAGCCATGCTGTAAAACTTACCTAAAACTTAGACATGGGTCCAAGGAACAAATTACCAAGTCTAATTTACAGGTCTTTATATTTAAAGAAAACTGGCCAATAATTCAAAGCTGGGCAATTTTGAAGACAGATAGCAAACTGGATTTGTCCCAATCTCCTTCCTAGTCTTATTGTACATTATATACTTAAGCCCTTTGACGTAGAAAAAAAAGTGAAAAGAAATGGTGGTGTTCCTATGGAAGGAAAACCACAACTTTAGGATGGAGATCTGAATCATAAGAGAACTGAAGCTGCCTCCCTCACAGGGCTCTGGTGCTCCTGATGCATTCCTCTAACTCAACTAGCCTAATCAGTCTGGCAAGTACAGAAATCCCCAAATAAGGCCCATACACTTACACCAATAACCTTAAACCAGTGCTCTTGTTCAGAAGAGCCAATGCACACATAGAGCCTTTCTAAGGGCTTTCCCAGTGTCCCAAATCAACCCCAGCAAAGTTGATGCAATGATTCCCTTCAACTAGGAAACCACAGCTTCCTGGTTCTGTAGAAACTGCTTTGCAGCTTATCTTTAGGTACTCAGTTCTCTCTTCAGCATGTTGTATATAATTAGGATATAATTTATTAGTGTGTTCAAAGTCAACCCCACTTCTCATTTTTGTCTCTCATGAAAAATAGAGTTGGGTTTTTTTTTCTTCCATTTTTCACTTCAGATTTCTTCCTCACAAATGAATTAAGAAAAGTCAATGGGAAGTAAAAATTAATCTTTGGAATTTAAAGTGTATAGTGTCCACATTTGACCTTCAGCTCTAACTGATCATGGTAAATAACTACATATGGTGCAAGGTATTAATTTTTTATTTATTATTTTATAGGTTTTTGTGTGTGCCTAAGTTTATATGTGATGTGCCAGTTTATATATGATGTGTCACAGTACAGGGGCACCTGAGGGAAAAATCACATCTTTACTAGGCTTTGAGAAGTCAGCTCTCTCTGGAGCTAAGCTTCCTAGTCCATATGAGGCGTGGGGTATCCCCTCCTATTTCCAACCCCATCCTACCCTGCACCCAGATGTCTCCAAGTATGGCCCAAGAGTACAGCAGTAAGGGCCAGAGGTGGGAATGAGCTACACTTCTGCACACCTTATAATGGATCACATTGTTTTCTTAACAGAAAAGTTAACTTTATGCAAATGTGAATGTGATCTTGTTATGAAATAGAGGTTTTAATAGACGTCATCAAGTGAGAGTAAGGTCACAGTGGATTAGATGGGTTAGGTTGCAGATACACAGACAGAAGGCCAGCAGGAAAGACAGGAGGAAATTGGGATAATGCAGATGTAAGCCAGGGTTCTTACAACAATTAGAAGCCAGGAAGAGGAGGGGATGACACTCGTTGAGATCTGCAGAGAGCACAGCTGGGAGCACCTTGCCTGGGAACTGGCCTCCAGAGCCACACAGCTCAAGTCCCGACTCTTTCTCTAAGCCAGTGTGAGGTCCCTTAGGAAAGGATTGCACCTGTGCATCCACACGGTCTTCTCACACAGGAACACAAATAGCGCCACACACTTCCAACTTCTTCAAGAGCAAATAGGAAAACCCTTCGAGGAACTGGGGAAACCACAGGCTTTTATCTTACTGTGCAAATTCTGTCCTCAGTACAGTTAGCAAGGACTGAAACAAAGGGGAGACTCCTGGCCTGAGCCAGCAGCCTGCAGTTCTAGTTCACGGAATAAACACATGTAACTGTTTTAACATTTCCTGAACAACTATTACTGTTGTCTATCACAGTAGTCATCTGTCCCTCTACAGTAGTCCCACATTTGAAAGTAAACGAATAAACATTTTCCCACAGTTTAATGCTGGGCAGTACTTGTGTATGAAAGGACTGACTGACTTGTCCTCCCAGGCACACTCCTCCCAGTCACCCATTTCCACTCTTGTTAATAAATAAAGTTGCCCGGGGGTCAGAGCTATTAGCAAGCCATAGGAAAGCAGGGCAGTGCTGGTGTACGCTTGTAATCCCAGCACTTGGTAGGCAGAGCTAGGTAAGTCTCTGTGTGTTCAGGGATACAGCCGGCATTGGATACACATGCCTTTAATCTCAATACCAACCATAGAAAACCTGGAGGTCTATACAGACAGGACGTGACAAGGTGGTCATGTGGTTGGGTTTACAACCAATGAGAAGGCAGAACAGAAACTCTATATAAAGACTTTAACACAGGAAGTAGCTCTGGTTTGGAGAGGTAGGACCACCGCAGGAGGAAGGGTAAGGTTTTAGCTCTTAGTTCTGACCTCTTGGCTTTCTTCTTTGCATTGGTTCTGTGTTTCTTATTTAATAAGATGGTTGGTTACATCTACACACTCTTCTTCAGGAAGCCAAAGGTCTTTCTGTATGTCAGTCAGATCTCACTCACACACTGGACAGATCCAGTGTGGGATGAAATGAAGAGGTTTCCCAGAGTCCACCAGCTCGAATGTGCTTGGCCCTGGCTATGACTTCTAACTCACGTCCTCAGCTGTCCCCTCTCTTACGATCTGGCCACATTGGCCTGTACATACATAGCTCTACCTGTCTGGAGTACCTTCCATCCTGTTCCTCCTGTGGCCACACTATGGCTTCATTCAGGTCTCTATCCTGAGTCATATCCTCAGACAGTCCTTACTGCCACTTCTCAAATAATCGCCCTAAGCTGGCTTCTTACCTTTAACGTGCTTTTATTTCCCCTTGGTTCCCAGCCATGTAACCGAAAGAGCCTTCTTCACAGTCTCTGCCCCCTACTAGTGTGTACTCTGTTTAGTCCAGGCATTTACTCCACACTCCCTTACTTCTGTATGAGTCTACCCCAGAACAGGTACTGATTTGGTGAATCAAGATGATGAAAACTGAATGCAGTTTGAAATTTGCTTGTTTTGTTTTTTACTTTTTGGTAGGAAGCATAGCATTAAGTTTAAAGGTGAGCAACAATTCACTTAACCGTTACTGTGAGCTCATGGGTATATCCTTTGAAATAGTCTTGCACTCTATTCTCACTCTGATTACATAATTTATAGTCTTTATAAGAATGATCCTAAATACTGCAGGATGGGACAGAGAGACACCAATAGCAGGTAGGTTGAGTACCTGAGAGGCAACCTAAGTGCCAACCAGCAGTAATGTGGTTACACGGGGCAGATCTGAATAAGTGACTGGGCGGCCCTCAAGCTGGCAGCCCAGATCATTGGTAACAGAACAGGTAAGGACCTGGAAGCCTAAAGAAAGAGAGATGACAGAGTGAGTGATGGGCCTGCCATGCAGTGGAGAGGGATGCAGGGTTACCTTCTCATTCCTGCAGTTGCTCAGCCCCATGTTGTTCATGGAGGACAGTTTCCCATCAACCCCGTGTGGCTGCTGTTGCTGCTCCCGCTGGATCTGTTCTCGCATCTTCCGAGCCTCCTGAATGGCTTTCATCACTGTGTCCTGGTCCCCAAACAGGGCAGGAGAGTTGAGACTGGACAGGATATCTGCATACACAGGGTGCGTGCGTTATTAGAGGCTTGTGGGGACACAGTCTCTCAAGCGTTGGCTATGATCCACTCCCCAGGAAAACACTGTATTCTTTGAACAAGGAAGGGGCACATTTGTTATTAAAAAAACTACAAGACTAGTTTGAGCACAGAAAGCCAAGTCAGTCAAGCAAGCTGTACTGGGTCAGGGTTCAGTTAGGCTGTGGAGGATACCCTGGCATTCCAGGCTGGTAGGTTGTCCCTTACCCTCTCACAGATGATTGGTCCTAGGTTCTAATATTGTATATACAGGAGGGATGTATTTGCTTTGTTTATGCCTACAGTATCAATGCTCCTACATTCTATTCCTAGCTGTATTGGGAGAAAGTAACTGCTTTGCATGTGTCTATACTTTGTGTACAATCTTTCCTGATCAGTGGGGGAGGGACAAGGCTGGGGATAGGCAGAGAGGTGGCTAGAATTTCTGTCCAGGGACTCTGTTGTATTTGGTGTGTTATGTGTAGGAGAACAGTTTGAGGCTTAACAGGATGAGACGTGTGAGGGTACATGGCTACTACAGTGACATCTGTATGTGGGTGTTTATGTATCCATTGCAGGAGGGAGGGGGTGGGAAGAACACACCACACTCTCCATTCTCCAAGAGCTTGCTAGTTAATGAAGCATTCTTCTTATCATGCTGCCTTAGTTATTTACCAAGAGAATGACAACCCTGCCCCATCCTCAGCTTGGACACCCACTGCTCCTAGCCCTCTCCCCACACCCCCGATCCTGATGTACAGTGAAACAGTATTGTGTGGCAATGGCTTTCACACGAGCACAAATCCTCAAATCAAGTAAGAATAAACAGTTTTTTTCTATTATATTCCATGTAACCCAGAAGGGAAAAAAGAAATAGAAACTAATTTTCCTCTACACCTTGAATTTTACTAAGCTTAAATGAATACTTTGGATCATTTTTTCCATTTTTAGACAAAGAAGGGCAATTATTTTATTACTGATAGATTTTTTATCTGTTGTTGTGTATTTGACATGATCTACTTGTGTAAGGTCCTTTGTATTTAATCACACATGTGTGTGAGAGGCATGTATGCATATATGCATACTCCTGACACAGAGAAACAGGGAAACCAGACTATAATTAAGCTCACACTACACACCTTGGATGTACAACACATGTGCATATCCATGTGAGTTGTGGGGTTCTGGAAACTGTCTATGGAAATGTTTTTTAAAGTCAGTTACTTTATAGAATATTAAACAATTGTTTTGTTTTGAAGTTTTTTTCTGATAAAAAGACGGCTTTTGTGCAATATTTTAGATGACTTTTGTGCAATATTTTGTGTGTAAGATTGCTGTCTAAGAGCAGATACTTTGACTCTGGCCCATCTGACCCAGACCTAAGAAGCACACTCTGCTGCTGACAGGAGCAGAACCTGTGACGTACCAGCTCTCTCCCCGTTCCTTTGGTTGAGCAGCCGAGGGAACAAGTGAGATGTGGAAGTGGGCTGCATAAGGGCCACTTCAAGAAGCAGGCTGCTTTCCTTACGCTGCTGCCTTTCTTTGTTCTCATCTCCTACTGCCAAACGCCAGCCCAAACAAACAGCTGGCAGTGATGTTCCAGGTGGGTATCACTTCTCTCCTCTCACTGAGCACCCCTGACACAGAGTGAAAACTGTGGCTCCTATGAGACAAAGCTGACTGGGAATCAGAAGAGGCTGCTGTCCACATCCTTCCTACCCTAAGTCCCAAGTGTCAGCAAGGACACTGCATCTCACACTCAGCCCAGCTGAGCACACCTCTAACTGTGAGCTTCCGGAGAGCATCAGGTTATGGGTGAGGAACTGGGTCTCAGCCTTGGTTCTGCTAGTTCACAGCACAGGTCTGGGGCTCAGTCATTCTACCAGGAAGAACTGAACTTCCTAACTTGTAAAGTCAAGTGAAATTAAACAAAGCGGCAAAACTAGACCTAAAATTGTAATTAGTCTCCCCACATGTTACCATATCCAATTATAATAAGCAATAGGTTCCACGACTCAATAATGCAAGGAAGGAAATGTGGCAAAGAATGGCAGTCTAATTCCTAACCCCTTTGAATCTTACTGTCTTTATTTGGCAAGCAAGAGACAAGAAGAGTCCAGTAACAATATCCTTCATGTTTTTGGTTTGTCCCCGCTGACAAATGCTTCCTTGCCGATTGCTCCAGTCTACCCAAGAACATGAATGTGTTGGGATTCACCTATGATAGTCTTTCAAAATAGAGAGCTTTGATGTCCAGGACACTGTAAGACCCTTGTCAGGTGGACTATTTTCTTTTGGCCTCACAGCAGCCCATGAACTACACAATACTGTTCCTCATTCAGGATTTAGGAAATACTAAAGTCCAGAGTCACAACATTAACCAGCGAAGGGTTTTGGTTTAGGCATGTCCCATTGTAAAACCCATGCTTTTGCTCCATACTTTCAAACAGGGGTATGGAAATCCCTAGAGAGCCTTGAAACTGCACATTAAAAAGCAAGAAGGAAAAGGCATACTGTGGCATGGCTTCCTGAATGAAGCCAGTTCTTGATACCCTTACAGGATTATTTTAAGGCAAAATCTTGACAAAATCCAGACATCCATAAGTGTCTGATGGCCAGCTCCACTATCATCTAAAAATAGATTGTAGAGGATTTGAGACATTTTTCAAAAGTTCTAGTCACCTAAGATACTAAGTTGTGTTCTGTTTCAGTAGAAAGAGTATCACTATCCTTCCCAGAGAACACACAGGACCCAAGGCAAGCCACCACAAGCCCATTTTGTTTCTATTCTAGGTCACAGGTCTCTTCCTGAAGTGGACTTTTCCATTTACCTAAAGAGGATCCTCTCCCCAGGCTTCCTCCAATGGGGCTGGGGATGCTGCTCTTGTTTGGCAGGTTGACAGGGCTGGTTTTGCTGGCTGGGAAGAGGCTCTGGGTGGGAGATGTTGGGGACTTCACAGGCTCTGCTGTCTTGGGCCTGGATGAGAGATTCAGCGGCTGGGCTGTTGTTTCATCCTACAAGAGTTTAACATAAATAATTATTTTAAAAAAGACAAATGAAGCACATTATCACTTAGTAAGCCACAGTTATTTTACACCTCCGAGACAATGCCATGTTCTCCTACAACAATAACAAAAGAAGCTAATTATCTACCTCCTTGAAGATTCATCGGAAGGAACCTCATTAATTTCCCTGTGTTATGCTTCTATTTACATTAACTGTGTAGTTGGATCATTCTTTTTGCCAAATTAAAATCTGAATTAGCTCACATTACAGCTTAATTTCCTAATGTGTTTTCAGGGATCTAAATTAACCTAGGGCATTTACAAAGAATTATTTAAAATTTCAGTAGCTCTGTAGTGCTTTTGTGTTAGTCTCTCAGAAAAGTTCCTGTGACTATAAATAGTCCCTGCAGCTAATTTTTTAATATATATTTTAAATCAAACAATTGCAAGTACTTTAGAATGGAAACATGGAGAGTCTTCTTCTGCTCTCCAGGGCCTCTGCCCTCAGAGTCCCATGCCACACCACAAGCTTCTATGTGGCTTTCTGGGTGTGGGTGCTCTTGTGGTTTATATTCTGGTCTCTATTCATGTTTAAAATTAATTTTTGTGAAGAGCAAGCATACATTATAATTATGTTTTACATGCTATACTATATGCAATTTATTTTTCATGTTTAAAGTGATGTCTTGTTACAATCTTTGCTACATATATTTATGGAATGTCTATTTTAAGACCATATCCCTCCACACTGAGCCCAGTATTTCCATCTCTGGCTTGGAACTCTAGGTTAGCCAGTGACTTGAAAGTTAAGCAACTTGTTTTCATTTTGTCTCATTTATCCTACTGTCAAAGAGCTGTAGACAATATTTTTATCATTTCAGAAATATAGATATGAGTATGTGATTTAAAGGTTCAGTGTTAAGATCTGCATTATTGCATTCTGAAGCAAAATCATCAGCAAATGTCAGATCCTGTTTCATCTCTGGGAAGGCCCAGAGAACTTGCTTTCAATGACATTATTGAAAACACACAACGGAATCTGGTAACAGAACATTCTCTCCTATGGTAAACACGTGATCTCACGGAGCCTTTATTTCTCCATCTATAAAAAGATGGCTATATACTACAGATGTCAATCAACAGACATTCCAGAAAACAACACTGGAGGAAGAAGGGCGAGAGGAAGAACAGGAGCCTGTGCAGGAGTGACCATGTACCAAGCACTACACTAGGCACCTGCAGTGTATTAGCCTACTCAACCACGGATGCCATTAGGAGGATGGGCCATACTACACAAACTTTACAAATGGGGCAATGAGCATCAAAATAATAAAAGGCACCTTCTCAAGGCCATCTAAGGAGGGAAGAATTTGAATCTAATTTACTGGATTACAAATCTCCACCTTCTTTTCTACCAAATGACTGGGGAAAAACGATTTGTATATTATGTAGTGATGTCCGACGTTTGGTTTCTGTTGTTTGTTTGTTTGTTTGGTATTAGTAGGAAACAAGTGCTCTGCCCCATCTGTGTTGCAATGCACTTTATATTTAGAATAGGACATGTTCTGGGGAAACAAGATGACATTCACTGTGAATGTCAAAATTATCTAATGTACTTAACTAAATTGCTTCTTTTTGCCCTTAATTCAAAGAATATTTAAACTAGTCACTTCCTTCACTCATGTTGGAATCATAGCACTTTATATGCTAACTATTTGGTTCATGTTCTCTATACTTCTTTCATTTGGGGTTTGCTGAACTTCTAAAATGTCTGAGTTTAGAGTTTTTGTCGAGTTAAAGAAATGTTCAGCCATTATTTTTTCAACCAAATTCCCTTCTTTTCTCTAGTTGTGTGTGTTAGACAGATCATTTGACAGTGCCCGGGACTGAAGGTCTTTCCTGTGTTCTAGTTTGCACAGTTTTGTTCTGTGTCTTCACTATCGCTGTTTTGTTTTGTTTTTTTCTTCTGCAGGTGTTCAAACTGCCATTAATCTCCTCCACTTACTGTTCATCTAAAGTATTGCACTTAGCACTTGTAGGCAACTAATTAGGTTTTCTGTGCCTTGCCTTATTATATTCATGTTTTTCTTTAATTTTCATGAAAATGCAGAGTTTATTACATCTTTTCCAGTTTTAATATTCCCTAACTTAGTATTTATAACTCACAATTAATGTCAAGATGCTCTCTATTGTAATCATGATAGAGGGACAGGATCAGGTTTATTTTTGAGATTAAGGACCCTCCCTCAGGACACAGGACATGACTATTAGACAGTGCTCTTCAGACATTGATGCTAAGAGCCTGAGATGGCAATTTCTGAAATAAGTGAATTCTAGACTGGTCCTTTACTATCTCGAAGGAGTTTTGGGGAAATGGCACAGGGAACTTAGCAGCCTCCCTAAGTAGAGAGTTCAGAGTTTTGAATGTTAATGTAGACAGAACTTTTGAGGCAGGGTACCAGCAAGGAGAGAGAGAGAGAGAGAGAGAGAGAGAGAGAGAGACAGAGAGAGAGAGAGAGAAAGAGAGAGTCAGATACAAGGGAGACAGAGACAAAAAGAATGCCAAGGAGCTTCAAAAGATTGGACTGTGTGTTTTGTTAGTTGAGTAGTGGTCAGAAAATGTCTATAAGAAGTCAACTCGAGTCTGGGGAGAGGGAAGAAGGGAGCAGGCAAAATGAATGCATGTTCCCCAAGGACTGGGAATGGCTTCCTCCCCCAGTAACACAGTGAAAGATCCCTTGATGTCCATACAGGGCATTCAGTCTCCAGGAAGTTGCTGCCTCATAATGGGGCTAAACTCCCTGAGATTGTTGCCTGTTTTGAACCTGACTAACAAATATGAAAAGTATATCCAGAGAGGATCCAGGGGTGCTGTGTCTCAGAATAGATTTCAGATATTTAAAGAGATAAAAACACTTTAACAGCCAACACTGTGAAATTCAAAATGTGTAGCATCTATTTAATAACTATGGGCTTATATAGAAACATGAAAATATGAACAAAGAAGAAAAAAATCCCACAGATTCTAAGCAAACCTCAGAATGACATAGATGGTAGAGCCATCAGGTAAGATAAGGAAAAAAAACACAGGAGGCTCGGATGCAGGCAAATCCACTCTCTCAAAAGCTGGAAAAATTGACAATGACCATGTCACCAGTCTAGAATATATAATCTGAGATAACATTTATGTTATTTCTATGTAATAATTATGAAATTTTGAGACATTTTTGATAGGGCTAATTATATGCCGCCTCCACCCAGTCTAAGATAGCACAAGATGTTTGTCAGGGGACAGGCTGCAGGAACTTAGAGTGCCTTGCCAGCTTGAGAAGGCTTTTGCTGTATATAGAACTGATAGGTGATACTCATAGCCCAGCTCAATGATTCTGGATCTTTCTCAATATGGAACTCTGTAACCAGACACTTCCATCCCCACACTGAAACTACTTTCATCTCCTTCCTGACCACCATGAGCATCCTCAGTACTACCACCACCATTAACAGAATGCTTATTACATGCTAGAGAACACATGGCTTCATGGAAAGCCCATAATATCATCAACGCCCAGATTACAGTGGCAGACTTAACAGATGAAAACCCTGTGTTTATCTCAGCTACCTTCTGCAAACATTGCCCTGTCATATTTCACTATATAATGCATGATTGTGCTCTATAAAGGGAAAATGACTGTAGTGAGGACCACGATGAAGCTGGGTGATCAAATCTCCTCAGTTAGAAGACTGAGCTTACTCTCAGAAGTTCTTCAGTAATAGGAACATTCAATTTAAATGCTCACTTTGTATCTTGGTTTATATATTTCTGCTCACATACAAAATATATGATCTAAGAAGTATAAGAAATGGGTCCTTTGTTGCTAACATAAAATATAGGCAAGTCAAACCATACAGAACTCTTATGCCTAAGAATTTGCATGTGGTCAAATGAGTAATAAAATCTGTTGGCCCACAAAGTTGGAATGGTAAAAGCAGATAGAAACTTGAATTTAGCCAGGGAACATTTACTCATCCAGCAAAGGCTTGGTTTGGTACAGTTCCAGTTGGCCAACTTAAATTACAAAATGACTTTTTCATGTTAAAATATTTAATACCCAAATAACCCAAGTTGCTGGCGTTTCACAATACTCTTTCTCTAACAACTATGAAGAGACTTATTCCTTGGGTTGAGCTGCTGTGCTGATTCAGATTCACAAATAAGCTTTTGGAACTTAAAATAATCTATTTCCACAAACTTACAATTCCTGTGCTAACTGTTTTAGCTCAAGACCTCTAACAATTAAGTGTAATTTCACTCTATTTCTCTAGAGAATCATTAAGTTAATATTTGGGAATGGAACTCAGACAGGCTGTCGTGAGGATGCTCATGTTTTGGTCTTCAATACTTGGAGTCCATTATTTTTGCAGACTTTCTGAAATCTCAACATTGCTATCTGAAAATTTACCAAAATAAGGTAGCTTCTGTGACTATAGAGCACCCAGTAGTGATGTTGGTTGTTCTCAACAGTTTGCTATGTGAAGATTCAATAATTGCCAAACTCCGTACATGCAGTACTTCTGCCAAATTACAACCATGCATCCACACTTAGCACACCTCCCCAAGTTCATAGTCAATTACATACACAACTGTTTCTCCAAACTGTGTGAATTTATTAATTCAATATAGGAAGTAGATACAGTCCCCACAACCAACTTGTACTATGTAGGGACCAGGTGCAGCACAGATTTGAAGCACCTGATCATTTCCTTGTCACCGGGTACCCCCAGGTGACCAGTTTGAGGACACTGAAAATCAGTTAAGAAAACCATGTGTCAACACTCCACCCATAACTGTGAAAACCCAGTTATCCTCTCATAATGACATGGTATCAAAAGCACCATCAGCCATTGACACCCTATTCCTCAGCACCTCTTTGTAGCCAGTTTTGAAGGACAGAGCTCCACAAACTATGCCAAGTCCAGCATTAGATTCCCTTTGATCCTCTTCTAACACCGAGGATTCTAGGCCCTACTTTGGTACTCTGAGTGGGCTCCCCACCTGTTGGAGGAATGTGGAGAGAAGTGTTGCAAGTCTGTGACAAAGTCTGACAATAAAAGCACAGCCATTACTGCCAGAGAACATTACAAAATGAAACCCAGACTCTGAAGGGAGAGATTTTTTTTTTTTTTTGAGGAGTGAGGTTTTGGAGTGAGGGAAGGATCTCACAATATAGCACTATTGTTATCAAAAGGGAAGCACCTGTTTCGCAATGCTCACTCATGACATTCCCCATAAAGAGGGCTGCTTATTCCCAGCATAGCCTGCTTCACCACCTTTCTTACAAAGCTATTTTCCAAACCATTTCCACGATCCTGCAAAGCAAGTACCTTAACTTGAGTTACAGGGCTGGTCCCTCTCTTTTCATTTTTTATCCCAGTAGGTGAGACCGTCCCTGCTGTGTTTGGTGGCTGTGGAGTTGATGGCATCTTTGCTCCAGGTGACACCTGCATGCTGGCCAGCTGAGCGGCATAGAGCTGCTGCAAAACAGAAAAGGCGAACGTCGGTCTCGTTAAATGCAGCTGAAACGGGTTCAAAAAACTTATCGTATTGTCAGATAACATCTCTCACTACCCTGCAATTTCTCTCACTTTCTTTTAAAAATAGGGAAATAAGAAAAATCAAGTGACTCAGAAAGGAAGAGGACTAGGAGAAACATGGTGCTGTAGGTGTTCCAGCAATGACACCATAGGCTGGGCCAGCACTGGTCTCTCGAGACTAAGTTCCTTCGGTTGCACTAAAAGGAGTTTGGCAGAGCAGTCTCTTAGGTTCCTTCTAAGAGCATGAAATCACTGTACAATGTTGTTTAGTGTCAGGCATGTCCACCTGTGGACTGAGAAACTAACCTGAACTTCCCCAGCAGACCTCGGTCTTCCCATACTTGTCTGGGGATGAGGACCCTTCTTGAAGATCAGTGCTGCCTCTGAGCCCCTAGAGTCTGCCAGTAGTCACTTCCCTCTCCAGTCTCACCTCTAGGCACCATAGAACAACCTTTGGCAGGGTTAGCCAGATTGGTAGCCATAGAAACAAAAAGGCAAACTTCTTTTCCTGGCCCAAGTGCTGAAGGAGACAACCCAGTTTCCCCTTTATGGCCAGAACAGCTCTGCTGGTGTTTCCACAGGGTCCCCTTTGGCTTGGGACTCTAGGCTTATTTCCCTATATTCCCACTGCTGTCTCCTGGCCTTTTCTAAGTATTTGCTATCTTACTATCTTATTCATCCTCTGCTCCCTCTTACAAGCGCTCCTCTTCCTGAGACAAGGTAAACAGACAATCTGATCCCATTCATCTTAAAATGATTAACATTAAGTACATTGATTTAACTGAATGCAGACTCTAGATTGGGATATGGGCCAATCTCCCTTTTAGATAATTTTAACTTTTATCAAAATAATGTTATACATGGTTTCATAAATTCAATATTACTTTAAGGCTTTTAAATAAAAAGAAAATCATAACAACATAGCCACCTTAAATAAGGTAAAGCCCCTACAGCCACACGTGATGGCCTTGGCCTCCCCAACTGGCCTTCCACCTCACTCCTACTCTGTGGAGGCCATCCCTTTTCAACTTGGTTGATGGTTCTTACTTATCACCTCATTTGCATATTTTTCTATGCTGTCTGTCTTTATCTGCTGATCTCACACAGGAGGATGAAAGTTTAGCTTTCTCACATCACCAGCCACATGTGCCTTCATGTGTCCCTCCAATTGCTTAAGGCTAACATCACAGATTTTAAGTTAGTCTTACTGTTTCGTTCTACTTTGGCACTCTTCATAACTGAGCTATAGAAAGAGCTAAAGTTCATTCTCTCTCCTCTTCCCACTCACCTCTCTCTGGTACTAGGATTGAATCCAGGTCCTCAGGCTTGCTAGGTAAATACCACTCAGCTATATCCCCAGACTTCTTTCACTTTTTTTATTTTGAGACAGGCTATCACTAAGTTGTCCAAGCTAAACTTGAACTCACTCTGAAAGCCAGACATACCCTGGACTGTCTCAGCCTCCCAAGTAGATGGGACTACATGGATTAGATACAGCAGTAACTTTTAGATACAGCAGTAACTTTTCTCTTTAGCTTTTTGTTAGATTTAATATTTGTATTGTTTATCATTTTATCTTTCATTTCTCTTTCTGGTTTCTGTAACTATCACTGGGTAATTCCCAGACTCTCCAAAAGATCAAGAAAACTCAACACAATACAGTTGAATATATGGCTAATCTCTGTATCCATTTTCCCCCTTAGAGATACTCTCTAGAATTCTCTACCCTCTTGCTCCAGTTTTTCATTAGGTCAGTGTTACACAGAAGTCCCCTTTGTCTCTGCTATGTTGGATTCCATTTTCTGTCTCTCATGGCTTCCTGTCTCTTAGTTAATTGTCATATTTTCGATAGTACATACACTCCAGGAAATACTTCAGAAAAGTGCCAGTGAGGTTAGTTTTTTTAGGAACTAATGATTCAGGAAACTGTTATTATTATAATCCCTTGATACAGAATTCTAAGTTAAAAATGATTCCCAGAATTCCAAAGACAATGACTTACTGTCCTTTTACCTTTCTTGCCAAGTAAGTCTGATGTCATTCTGATTTCAGATTCTTTGCATGAAATCAGTTTTCACTTGAGAAAGCATTGACTTTATACCATGTGTAGATTTCCTCCTGAGGGCTGTCTGCCTATTGACTTTACACTCACTGGTCTGGAGCCTAGCCCTTCTAATGTATAAAACCATGTGCTTCAACTCTAAGAAACACTCTGAAGTTTTCCCATCAACCCACACTAGTAATGCTAGACATCCTCTTGAACCTTTTGGTTTTAGTTTTTCCTTCTGTCTCACACTCTTAAACATTTTATCTACTCTATAATAGATTATTTTCATCAACTTCTTCTAAGACTTCAATGAACTTTCCACTGTCACAATTTTAAGAATCCTTTTTGTTCTCTGATTGCTTCTTTTTATAGCATCTTGATCACTATTCTGCTCAGTGATTAATGATGGTTTTGAATTTGTTTTTGTTTTCTGTTCTCTGCACTGTTCTCTCTCTTTTCTTTTAATCTTTTGAGCTCTTTCTCTTATATCTTTGGGTTGTGAGCCTAGCCTTTAATGGCTGAGCCATCTCTCCAGTCTTGAGCTCTTTCTCATTGGAGGATTTCTAAAGTCTCTGATAAACATTGACTAACATAAGGGACATCACCAGAAGCTGACTGGGAAATCTAAGTGTAAGGGGAGAATTATTGAATGACAGGCTTCAGTATAAAATTATAATGCAGAAAGTAGATTTTTCCTTGGAGAATCCAAAGTGTCAACACTCATAAATTGTTTATCTTACACTGATCCATCTTCTTAGAGGGATACCCTCAAATTCTTGTCTTGGCTTGAATATTCACTTGAATGCCATTATTGGGTCTGTTGTTCCAAGATAAAAACCTATGAACACACAGCTTCTCAAGAGACCAAACTTTCAGTCTCTTGCTAGGCTGTGTGCTGCTCTTGAATGGTGGGAGGAGTCAGTAGCCATTACCATGCATCAACCATCTTGTTGACCATTCTCCTCCTATCTCTGCCTTCTATGGCATATCACCTTTTTCTTTTCTGATGACAGCTATAACTCAACTATCCCTTCCTCATGCCCCCCAAACGTTTACCAGCTCTCTTTCTACTTGTACTCAAATGTTGCCACTTCTAATCCTTAACTGTCCCTGTATTGGAAATTGTGTGAAACTGGTAATAAATGAATGTGTTAGTTTGCCATGGTTGACCCACCGTCAGATATCCCAGACTTAACACTGTTGGAGCTTAAAAATGTCATTCAAATTTATCTTTTCCTCTTAGAATCAAGAGTACCTTGATGGTCAGATTTCTATCATAATAGAAAACTTCCTAGGTCATCAACTAGAGAGAAAATAGCTCAAACTGAGGCATATTAGTAGAGGAAGAAAAACAGGTGGTTTGTATATAATTTCCAGCATTACTATCATTCAGATGGACAAATAAAAAAAATTACAGTAATCAAAAACAGACCTTTCAGCACATATAATTAAATGAAAGCTTAATAAAGAATAATTTGCAAGAGCCAGATGTGCCTATGTCATGATTGTTGCTTTCTTTGGAACAATTTTTCTAATATAACAAGCCTCTAAAGAAATTAAAGTTTCTTAATTCTGTATGCAATGACTCAGTGGCAAGAAAAATTCACAAGTAAGAGTCAAACTGCTATAATTTAGGCAAAGGAAAGGCTGTGGTTTTGTTTCTTTTTTACTTTGATGGATCTTTTTCTTTTGAAATTTAGCAAGGCTGAGCATGCAGCTCAGTTGGTAGAGTGCTTGTCTCGCAAGCACAAAGCCTGGGGTTCCTTTCCAACAAACACTGCCTGAACCAGGCGTGTTAGCACAATGTTTGTAATCCCAGGACTTGGGAAGTGGAAGCAGAAGGATCAGGAATTCAAGGTTCAAGATCCATATTCATCAAGTTTGAGGTCAGTCTGGACTACATGAGACCTTAGCTCAAATTAAAATAAATAAAAAGTTGGTAAGACACAGGAAACATCTTCTCTGGAACTTCTGCTTGGACTAGGCCAGCAAAGCAAAGTTTGATAATGAATGACATGTATAGAGGAAGCTACAAATAGAAAATGCAGTGGCTAATTTTGTGAGCTGTAAACAATAACTGGATATTAAAGAGTCATTAAGTCTTAGAGATATGAGTCCTTACAAATAATGTATTTTCCATCAAAAGAAATTTCACTTTGTTTTACTCAATTTTGAATCTTTCAGAGAGCCGCAACTAATAATGCAAGGGAAAAAAAACCTTTAGAAATAAGTCTATACTTTAAATATCTGACTCAATTCAGTGATGCTTCAGATTTACTGGACAACAGTTAATTTTTAGAAACAAGGTAGTCTTAATTGCTTTCTCTCAAGTTCTAATAATCACTTCATACTCATATCCAATAAGTTCTACATAAACATGACAAGACCCCAGAAACTCATCATGCTCAGAACTGGTTCTTGTGAGTTGTGATTCCTGGGGCATTGGAGGCAGGGAGAAGAGCCATTGAGTGAAGTGGACAGTAGGACACAATATACGACTCAGTACAAGCTTTGAGATAAGAATCAGAAAGCAGAATGCAACAAGAAGAAAGAGGGCACCCATGAAAATCAATTTATCATATTCTACCTAATGAAGCATAGTCATTTAGCTGTAATTATCATCCTCAAATTGGAGATTTTAGATTTGATTTAGATAATAAGAATGCCATTCATCAAATAGGCATACATTTACAAAGCAATTTCATAGTTAACTTTCTAAGCTACTATCAGCTGAATGAATTCTATGTGCAAAGCTCTGCACCAGGAGTGGAGGAACCAAAGGCTTGGGCCAACAGTCAGCCCTAGAGGTGTAAACTGGAGATCTGCAGCCCTTGACTGGCAGCTCTCCTGTGGTGTCCACCACTTTTGACCCTTGTGTTGGTCATGTACGTGT